CCTTAAGACCTAGAAATGAAATTCCACTCCTGATATTTCCCCAAGGAGGAGGAAGCATGCTCTCCCCAACCCTTGTATAATAGCTCGGAGAAGGTGGATTAATACCAGCCCCAGATTAGAAAGCGGTTGAATCAACATCAGCAGCCGTCCATGTATTCAACAGCATTCGTCAACAATGAAGAGATGCCAGGAACAATGCGCGGCAACATGGTGGAAGATGAAAGGGGCCGGGACAGAAAAGGCCACTCGCTGTATGGTTTCATTTACAAGACATTCCAGAAAAAGCAAATTATAGGGAGAGAAAGAAGGCAGAGCTTCCGCTTCCAGGGAAGGAGCAAGGGGAGAGAGGGCTGACTTTCAAGAAGCATGAAGGACACTTGGGATGACAAATGTTTTGTGTCCATGTGGCGTTGCTCACATAACTGTAAACCCTTGTCAAAGCTCACCAACTGCGTGTTTTTAAACGAACATGACCAAAAAATGGAAAAAGGCAGATGGAGTCAAGAGGAAGTCTGTGAAAAGAACAAAACAGCAGTTTAAATTATTTCATGAAAACCCCTTTATGGCTTGTTATACTACTGTGTTCTGAAGACCTGTGTATGATGCATTAGTTCAGGACCTGGCAATAAAAGCCATGCCAACCTCAGTTCAAGTCTGTCTTTGCCACTTCTTAGAAGAGTGGCCTTACACCAATTATTGCATTCATACTTCAAAGATGAGGCTAGGGCTTAGTGACTCACACTAACCGCTCACAACTCTGGCTCAGGATAAACATTTACCAAATGAGCATTCTGAAGACCGTTTGGCGATGACACACACACTACTTATAATGTCATGTGAAAATACGGGACGTAGCCCATGTGTGAGGTAGAGTGCTGGTGTAAAACAAGGAATGGTTTCGGTGCCTGGAAGCTGACGGAGACTTTCTGAAAGAAATCACGACGATATGAAAAAAGAGGGCCGATTAAATGAGTGAAGGACAGAAAACGTCACTGGGTTTGAGAATTATGTGCATCTTGCTATTTCTTGGTGTGAAGAGAAGTTATTACGAAAGGGCGGAGTCAGTCAGCATACAAAGGGCTTTGAAATGCCAATCATGGTGCATGCCATCCTGTGGTGGAGGGTGGGGGAGACTGCATCTTACAGGGTTGACTTTGATCACCCTGGAAAAGAGCAGCTGAAGCAAGGTCGAGGTTCCAGGGCTAGAGACATATCGAAAGGCTTTTTGAACCCAGGAAAAGGATGGTAGTACTCTGGGCATGGGCTGTGGGGGTGAAGAGATAAATCTGAGAAATCTAGAATCTGATAGCTGAGCATGAAGGAGAATGAATGTCAGGTTTCCTGTATGAGGGCACCAGTGCCCCGGGCCACTGGTTCTTAACCTTCCTAATGCTGCAAACCTTCAATACAGTTCCTCATATTGTGGTGAACCCCAACCACAAAAGTCTTTTCACTGCTGCTTCATAACTGTAATTTTGCTACTGTTATGAGTCATAATGTAGATGTCTGCTGTGAAAGTATCAATCGACCCTAAAGAAGTTGCAACCCTAGATTGCTACCTTAGACAAATCAAAGAGCATGTTTCTATCAGATAAACTATGAATTTAGGTGAATCTTGTTGATATATAAGGTGCCTGTGAACTATGTAGCAAGAGAAAGAAGATTTGAGCCTAGAGTTTATTATCAAAGTTAGATGCTGTGGGGAGAGACAGCAATTGAAGTCACAGGTAGAAGCAAGATCACCCCCCGCACACACACACACACACACACACACACACACACACACACATAAAGCATACAGTGTGAGAGAGAGTCAGAAACATATTACTGAAAAATATCAACATGTATGGGGGTGTAGAAAAGACCTTAACTGATGGGGGAAGCACAGAAAGCCCAGAGTTTCCTGAGGGAACTGCTAAGAGTGTCATGTGCACAGCAACATCAGAACACAAAGACCAATAAACATCCTATGGATCTAGGCAGTGTTAGTGCTGGGGAAAAAACAGACTCGAATGGGAAGTTAAAACGTGGAAGTATATAGCTCAGACTAATTTCCTGGAGAGCCATAAGTGGGAGCAGAAAAATAATTGAACAGCAAGAGACACAGTTTGCTATGGCTTTTATAAATGTTCCCCAAAGGCCCATGGGTTAAAAACTTGGTCTCCACAATGGCATGTTATTGGAGGGTCCCATGGACATTTTAGAGGGATCCTGTTGTTTTTAACTACGTCTCTATCATTTGATTTTTATCAATAAAGACTCAGGAGTCAGATGCCGCAGTGAAAACATGTTAGGTCAGAAAGGCAGAGAAAGTACCCAGCTGCTTCCTTCTCCATGGGCTTCCCAGAAAGAGAGCTTTCTCCTGTGCCTCAAACAAAAGCTACTCCAACCGGATGTCTCTCCCTTCTACTTCTTATGCATCTCTCTCCATCCTCCTGACTTCCTCTTCCTCTCTCTGTTCTTTTTTTTTTCTCCTGTCAACTGGTTGCTTGCTCTGCCTCTTGACCTATAGTTGATTTCATTTAATCTGTTTACAATATTCAAGCAGAAAGTTCTTGGATTAAAGGTGTGTGCGAGGATGGAGTCACACAACACCTAGAAGCAAGTTTTCCTGTTCGGGTGGAAGTTCCACCCCAAACCCCTTCACCTGGAGTTGCCTCAGTCCAGACTCCATCCCCTTCCTCAAGAAAGACCACTACCAGTGCCTCCCCAGGGCATTAAAAAGCCCCCACCTCATGGGTTTCCCTTGTGATCTCTCGCCTCAAGTTTCCCTGGGGCCACCCAATGCTTTGCTCAGAATAAACCTGTATATATTAATTTGGTTTGATTGACTTATTACATCAGTGGCAGTGCATTCCAAATAACCAGGAATTTAACTTAACATTTTCCAGTAAATAACACAGTCTTGGGGTTCACAGTGTGATCAAACATCCCGTAACCCTCTTCTGTCTGGCTTTTGGCTCCTAGCTTGTGAAAGGTCTCTATGATGCAGCACCCTAGCCAAAGGATGACACCTCCAGAATCATGAGTCAAAACAAATCTACCATTTTATGTTTATTATTTCAGATATTTTTTATAATAATAATGGAAAGCTTGGTAATAAAGAAAAAAATGTTTCTAAATTTTTATTACTTATTTTCTCTTTCCTTCCTTCTTTCTGTCTTTATCCCTCTTTCTGTGTGTGTGTGGATGTGTGCGCTTGTGGGGGGGGGGCAAGGCATGTGCCACGGCACATATATGGAAGCCAGATGAAGACTTCATGCAGTTGATTCTGTCCGTGCAGTCAGGCACCAAACTCAGGTCTCCATGCTTGCTTCACAAGCGCCTTTACACGTTGAGCCATTTTGCTAGACCCTGCCTGAAGGAAATTCTAATTTTGTTTTTATTTTCTTGTGAGGGACAGAAGAAATTATTATATTTATATACTTATTGGGAGACAGAAAGAAAGTCAATGAATTATATTAGTTAAGATATCAGTCAAGGTCTAAGCAAAATATAGAAATCACATGAGACACCAGATCTTAAGTACTTTGATAGAAATAGTTGTTAAATATGAAAACATCTGGATGTGAGGTGACTAAAATGGTGGAGAGAGAGTAGAGAAATAAACCAGCAGCTGGAAGAAGGATCCAGCTCTGTTAGGGCTGAGGTAACGAGGCTGGGTAGGAGAGTGGAAGGGGTGAAGAGATTGTCTCCCAAGATAACTGGTGGTTGTGCCTGACCAAGCTGAGTTACGGAGAAATGAGAGAATGTTCTGAGAGTTGCATACAACCTGGCAGATAACAGGTGCTTTGGAAAGCGTTGCTGGGAAAGGAGAGGAGGTAGAGTGTGAAGACGCCAGAGGAGGGAGTTTGGGGAAACCGGGGAACGGAGAAGAAAGGCTGGAAACAAAGTAGAGGGAATAGGATAGAATGGGCAGCCAGTCTTCGGGTTATCGCTGTGTTTTCCGAAGAAAGATGCAGACGTTTGAGCAGTGGAGGGATAAGACCAGAGCATCGATTTCTGGAGAGCCAGAACATCTGAGTGGAAGAAAAACTGGGAGGGAAAACCAGAGTCATATCTGCAGGGCCAAATGCGGTGGCCTGGGCTGTGGAGGCAGTGAATATTGGAAGGAACCAGTAAGAAAGGGAAGGCTCCGATTAACTGTTGGCTTCTCTGCTGCCTGTGGCTGGGGGCAGGGGCGAGAGAGCAAACAGGATCTTCCTTATTGGGCAGTTAGAAAGGATATCTGAGGTTGAGGAATTGAGGGAGAGAAGGAGAGTTTGAGACTTGTTAGTTTTGCCACGGCACGATTACGGTTCCTGCAGGATTGATCGCCGCCTGGGCGCTAGACAATGGGCGCCTTGGAGCTAAGAGCCAATTTCAGGCCGAGCACGCAGGCGCAGCCTGGTGTCGCCTAGCAACCAGGAAAAAACAACACTGACCCGCGAAGGCCAGTGCAGTTTGTTAGGTGTAGGGGGCTGCTGCTCCTAGGGATTCCGTCCAGGTAAAGGCAGGCCTGGCTGTTCACCTGCCCTGAGGGTGGGACCCTCTGGGACAAAGTGAGGGGACACCTGAAGAGCTGTCCCAGCCAGCACCCGCAGGTACCAGCGGCACCGGGCACTTAACAGGGAGAACCCGAGGCTCCAAGAGGGACGTGGGGGTCTAAGACCCTGTCACTTGACTGTAAGTGACTCTTGAAGCAGGAGTCTACCTGCTCCAGCCCTTCTCTGCGGCTTTAAGTCCGCTCAAAGCCAGTTTCTACCTTTGGGAATACCTGAAACTCAGAGACTGAGGGGGCGGCAAGGGGGGGAGGGTGGAATACAAAAGACAAATCGGGAGATAATATAGCTATGAAAGGCACAATCTTAAGTCAAATCCATTGCCATAATCAGTTTAATGAACTTAGAACCCATTCATCCCGCTCTCTTCCAGCTATATTTATATTCCTAAAGAAACTGAGAGGTGGGTAAATTTTTTATTTCTAAAGACATTCATTGCAGCTTTGCCCATAATTCCAGAAAATTGGAAATGAGAGGCTAGACGAGTAATGGATTCGAAAGCATTATTTAAATGATGTGCTGATCCACTGAAGATGCTGGGGAGAGAAATGGAGATGGAAATGTTTTGGACTTGCCCCTTAGGGAAATGATCCAGGTAAGGAAATTGATGATAGGCAGCAGAATTCGGGAAAGATGCTAAAATCACCGTAGAAAACACGCACACACAAAGGAACTGTAGCAAAATAACACAAATCCACCTGGGCTTATCTTTGGGTGAATTTTCTTTTGTTCATTGTGCTATCCTTTGTTTTCCCAATTCTCGACGGTGAAATGCCTAGTCTTTATAAACAACAACAAAAAATTAGCTTGTGTGGCTAGTTGTTCCCACCTGTACTAGTGGTTTACTCCAGTCTCCCCCAAAGAGCTATCCCGATATAGTGGTCCAAGTCAGCCACCTCTAACCTCATGGTGTTGCCCAGGATCCTTTCCAGGATTGCAAAGCTGTGTGTCTTTATCCTCTGCACCCTTCGTTATTCTATTGTTCAAAAAACCTACCCTGGAATAGGAGACAATAGCACGAGGAGAACGGAGATAACTACAGACAATGCTGTGTGGGTGTAACTTAACTGTTTTCTTCAGAAAGAACCGTTATAATTCTATATATAGCAACTGCTGCTATATCATAGAATTGCTTACAAACTTAGCTCCACACCTAGAAATTGACTCTCTGATAGCTGCTCGGGGTTCTGGAATTATTTCAACGTGTTTCTCTACATGAAACAGGCTCACAGTAAAGGGCCTATGTACTTTTCAAGCAAGTATGAATATTTGCAATTTGAGAAAAATGTTGGCTCTAATCTATGGAAAGAACATTGAAAACAAGTATTTTAGAGTTGTATTTATATTATTTCTCCATACATTTGAAAATAGTTTTCTCATCTTGTAAGAATTTTCAGGCATTCATAATAGCTGCTGAGAAATTTCAAAGACAAATCCTGATGAAGCTGTGGGGCCAGGGATGGTTCAGGGGTTAGGAGCATCCGTTGTCCTTGCAGAGGGTTGTGAGTCTCATCATCCACACTGCTGAGATGTCCGAGATGCTGGGGATATGGTTCAGGGGTTAAGAGCATCCGTTGTCCTTGCAGAGGGTCATGTTTGAGTATCATCGTCCACACTGCTGCTCAAAAGTCTGTAACCCAGTATCAGGGGACACACACTCTTCTGACCTCCTCAGGCACCTGGAAAGCACACCGTGCACATACATGAAGGCACAACACCCCCACGTATAAAATAAATAAACCTAAAACATATTTGTACAAAGTTATATTTAGTGAAGAATGTATCTTTTAACATTTTAGTATACTGGATAAGGCACAAGGTACCCCAGGATAGGATACACCTGCCCAGTTTCTCAAAGGCCTTATAACTCAAGTTAGGCACATGGAATTGATGTCTTTTAAAAGCTCCTGAGTTACTGTGGTTATGTGGCCTTTTGATGCATTCAGTGCATTCAGGGTCTTTAAGACCTGGGGCAGTTTTTGACTCCTGACAAGCAGTCTGAACTACTTCTGACACTGAAGGGCCTTTTCAGGGATCTTATGCCTTCCGAGATTTCTCGCAAGACTTCAGTAACTTCTTTTCAGCAAGGCATTAGTCACAGGAAAATAGAACTAACAATTTCCATAATATTGAATCCATATCATGTGCTAGATACCTGCAGGTGCATGACATAGTTGCATGCAAAAAAAAAAGGGCACAAATGGCTGCTTTGTGGCATGTCATGTGAATTTCAAAGACTTAACCACAAGTCCAGCATAGGTGATGTGTAAAAGTGCTGTGCTATTGCTCACTTAGTCGAAAGTCAGTTCACAAATATAGTCACCTTTCTCAGCTGAGCAAAACAGCGGTGCTCAACTGTCTTATCAGTAAGTTCTTCCAAAACCAGTGCTTCCAACAGGAGCATATAGAACAGTTTGTGCACTTGCAGTAATCCCTACGTACATTGCAAGCTTTAATTGGGTAAAAAATGTGAAGAAGAAATGGCCCTCCTCCAAAGAACATAGATAACTGAGAAAAATGATGGATGTACGAATTAAGATGTGCAAATCACACTTTCATACTTTTTGCATATTTTTTTTCTAGGATGGGTAAAAAGATAAAGAAAGAAGTTGAACCTCCCCCTAAGGATGTGGTAAGTTTCTGGTGTAAATAACCACCAGTTTGAAAAAATCAATTGTTCTGACAGTTTGGCATGTCCCACGGTACACATGAATGCATGGTGGCAGAAGTCCAAAGTCTGACTAATGATAAGATTAGCCAGAGAAACCTAAGAGAATATAAACAAACATGTACAACATTGTCATTATCTAATTAGTACAATTAAACAGCGATTACAGTTTTTCCAGCATGTAGATAGGATGTTTACAGTCTAGTTAATGAACAGAGTTTCAGTGTATTCTTTTAAATACTTGAAGTTTAGATTCACTAGCCACTCATTAATATGAATTATCCAAGAGAATTTTCAGAAATAAAGGGAAGTCATGCTACAGTGCTTACATATTTGTTTATGGCAGCGGCTGGTGGTCTGGGACATGAGATGTTCTATATTTTCCAGTTGGAAAGTAGTCTGGGGTCATCGGCTCCTTCTCTTCCACATGTTAAGCATTAACATGGCCCCTTACAGAAAGCCCTTTTCACTCTTTTGTTTTGTTTTGTTTGAGACACGGTTTCTCTGTGGCTTTGGAGCCTGTCCTGGCACTAGCTCTGTAGACCAGGCTGGTCTCGAACTCACAGAGATCCGCCTGCCTCTGCCTCCCGAGTGCTGGGATTAAAGGCATGCGCCACCATCACCCGGCATCCCTTTTCACTCTTAAACACTTGGTTTACCTGCTCACTTTAATCAATTACTGAAAGACTACATTACTGTAGAAAATGACCTTTGAGGATACTGACTTTGGAGACTTTCTTAAATACATGTTTGATATGTTTGTCATCAGACGCAACACAAACAGAGATGAGGAATTCCCAAGTTTTCAAATATTGAAAAGCACAACAGAAAGTTGCCCTCCAAATTAGAGCACTACGGTCAGGCTGGAAGCTTTGTCTTATGGCCCCTTACAAACTATATTAATCACTTTGACCAAATTGCCAAATTTGGCCAAACTATTTCAGCTTTGTTTATCTTTGAAATGGGAATTGGGCTCTCTGACTCATTTGGATTGCTATGTTATTAGTCCAAAAAAATTATATGAAATTCTCAGGGCTTGACATATAATTCAGTAAAAAAATATTTGTTATTGTAGGAATCCTCAGTACTCCTCTCTCTCTCTCTCTCTCTCTCTCTCTCTCTCTTACACGCACACACACACACACACACACACACACACTGATGCCCACCAAGATATATGATACTTTATGATGGAGTAATGATGAAGGCTTCTCTACCAATCACTTCTGCCCGTTTGTGCATTGGGTCCACTTCCAGACCTCTAGGCGGTTCACGGAGGATGCTCAGAGGGTGAAGACCCACTCCCAACAATGAGCACTAGACAGCACCAGGTGCTTGGAATACTGCTGAGCACCAGCCACCACCCCAACTGCCCCACAGGCCCAGGGGTGTGTGCCTACATCAGGACTCAAGTACTTTAAGGTCAACTTGGACTACACAGTGAGACCCTGTCTAAAAAGAATGAACAAAAGCAAAGCAAAGTGAGCCTTGTGAGTGCCATATTGAAAGGCAAAATGAGGAACACCACTGTCTCTGAAGTTCTGCTGGAGAGCGATTTCTTACGGCAGTTATTTCCCTACCGGAGCTGGGAGACTGGCTCTGTACACCTCAGAGCTCTCACAACAGACTGGCCTTAAAGAGCAGAGCCTAGCCAGGTGCTGCTGCTTACTGTCATTCTTTCTGTGGTAATTTTGGCTCACCATTCATTTTATACAGAGCGTGACATTGTAATTTCACAACAAGCTTGCTGGTGGCTGACTACCTCACGGGGAAGCAGATGGGCTTTGTGATTATAACTCGGTATTATTTATTTAGTCGTGTGGCATTCTGTTACAGTCATCATTTTATTCTCAGCACCTTTTTAAATAAAGAATTCCTGTAATACTGTAGGCCCCGCAGGAGAAACAAATGCCAGGCCAAGCTCCTCCACTGTCTGCCAAGCACCGGCATTTCTGCCACACAATTGCTCATTAGAGCGTAGCTCCTCTGGCCTCCGTCTTCCTTTATGTTTCTCATGATCTATACTGCCTTGTTCCTAGTGATGACTGGAAGGCACAGCAACGTATCAGAGGGTTAACTAAACCTCCAGGAGAGATCAAATGGTGTTTAGTTATCACTCTTGTTTCAATGGATTTTTATGTACTCTCTCTAAAGACTGTAGGTGTCATAGCATTCTCACATGCAATCATTGCAGAGTTAGTTGATAAAACAAGCTTTAAGATAGTCAAATACTGATTGAGAGTTAGTTCTTTATGGTGTGACTGTAGTCTCAGCTACTCTGGAGGTTGAGGCAGAAGGGTTCCTTGAGTTTGGGGTTTCAAGGTCAATCTGGGCAACACAGTGGAAGCTAATGTCAAAAAAGAAAGAGAGAGGGAGGAAGGGAGGAAGAGAGGAAGGGAGGGAAGGAGGGAGAGAAGGAGGGAAAAGGGAGGAAGGGAGAGAGGAAAGTAGGGAGGCAAGGAGGGAGGGTCTTAGGAAACGGTTCAGTTGGTGATGGTACACAAACATGAGGACCTGAATTCAGATCCCCAGAACCCACAAAGGTGACTCTCATCTATAACTCCAGTACTGTGGGGATCACTAGAGGATGGGGAGACGGGTAGATCCGAAGCTCGATAGCTAGCAGTCTCTCTAGTCAGATCAGCGAGCTTGGGTGTAATGTAAGAGAGCCTGCAAAAGAAAGAACAAAAATGTGAGAACTGATTAATAAAACACACTTCCATCACACCCTGGCCTCCAGATGCACTCACACTAATGTGTACACACCACACCACACACACACTCATACACATAGAGGGGGAGGGAGAGAGAAGAAGAGGTGAGAGAGAAGACACGAGGAAGACTTATATTAGGAAATTAAAGATCTGAAATGGGGTTAAGCCTTTTTTGAGTGTGGACCCAAAATGTTGGGAAGAATAGGCAGCTGGAACGTTGAAAAACTGTTTAAAGTCTACCCACAGCTGTGGTCCTCAGAGAATGACAAGCAGTCAGGGAGCCTTACGAGGGTAGGACAGAAATTCAAGATACTTCCGCTGTGATTTCCGAAACAGAATGCACCTTTTGAAGCCTGTTGATGGTTTAGGTTTCCTGATATCAGAAGGCAGTGCACACATAAATCACCTTAACTTCACAAACTGAACTCAGGAGGCCCAACAAAACATGGGGTCCATAGCTTCAACCTTTATTAAGGAAAACAATGAAATGATCAAGAAATGGTAAGAGGCAGGTGACATGGTAGTCCCTGGTGGTGGTAGCCTTAGAAATGGTCCTTTTGAAATTTGATAAAAGTTAAGTTCAGCTTGGATAAGCCAGCAGAAAATGGAGAAAAGAAACATTTCACCATGTTTTTGATCCTGAAAGGGATGGCAGGGCAGAGGGTGGATAGTATCTAAAGAAAGTTTATTTTTTGTTTCAAAATAAAAAGAGATTTGATTGGGGCACAGAGAACCAACCAGAAAGGGCCAACAGCAGAGAAGTCCAGTTAATGGTCCCCTGGAGACTTTAAGTTGTAAACTGTCTGGGTGGAACTGTGCATGAGAATTAACATGTGTGAACTACTATGTACTGAAGGATTTTTAGAGCTCACATGAGTCTGGGAATTCTATTTTTCATAAGAATGTCTTATTGAGTTTCTAGGGAATTAGCAGGCAGAGTTTCCAGAAGTACAAGGTCTCTATAGTATGACTAGCCTTGCCGAATGGTAAAGGCTTTCCTGGATTTGCCATGACAAGGTTTAAAAATGGGCTTGAAGTAGACATTGACCCGGATGTAGAATAAGTGCCTGCCATAGCAAAATCCAGTGCCCGCTCAGTTCTCTTCATCCCTATCACCAAGAAAAAAAGATCTATATACTCAACTACATAGTTTTCATAATGTTAAGCAGCTGTTAAAAATAATAAATGATGAAAAAATGTGAATTATATCAGAAAAACAACCAATAAGTCATTAGAGGAAATAAAATAGAAAGCTAAAAAAAAATCAGTTACCAAAAAAGAAGACAGGAAAAAGAATAGATTAGGGAAAGTGGAAACAGAAAGATGGTCAATAAAACTCAGCCATATCAATAGCACACTACATATAAATGTTGCAATGCCTTTAAGGTGAGAGATTGTCAAATTAATGAAAAGACAAGACTCAAGAAAACTTTAAGGATATATGGATACATATAAGTTAAGGTTGGACAGAAAGACACATGTGCCATACAAACGCTAATCATAAGAAAATGCCCATATAGCCAACAAAATAATAATTACAGAACAAACATTTTTATCAAAGGACAAGGTGGCATTTCATAATGATAAAAATTTTCATTTTTAAGAAGAAAATGATCTTAAAGCACAAATTTTAAAAATATGAAAAAGGGACATTTCTATTGCATAAAAATGAAATATTTAAACACAATATTAATTTTGCCAAAAATCAATATCCATATCATATAAAGCACTACAGAGACAAAGTAGTCCTAATGAAGCAGACACACTGTGCTGCATACAGGTACGTTGATGGTGGAATTGCAAAATGGCTGAATTACTTTGGGGAAACATGGTGTTTTCTTGTGAATTTAACTACACACTTGCCATTAACTAGAAGTCTGTATGAGTGTGTGTGTATGTGTGTGTGTCCAGATGTATGTGCTGTTCATCAATTTGGAGGCTAGAGGCCAGCATCAGCTATTTTCTCCAATCGTTTTTCACCTCTAGTTTTTGAGATGGGTCCATCAAGGAACCTGGGGTGCACTGACTTGGCCAGAAAGTCCCAAGGCTGCTCCTGTGTCTGCCTCCCAGCACTGGGATTCCAGGGAGTCCCTACTGCATCATCTATTACCCCTGGGTACCAGACACAGAAATTCTTTATCAATGTTGAGACAGTACTGTCCTAAAATCTGGCAGAAGGCATTTGCAGATAAAGGAGCATGCCACCCATCCTGATGACCTGAGTGTAATCCCAAGATCCATATGATAGGGGAGCGCCTGCTCCTCTGAGCCGTCCTTTGACCTTCCATGTATTTGCACGCATGCACACACACACACATACACACACACACACACACACACACACACACACACACACAGAGTGAACTAAGAATATAAAAATCTTTCAAAAATCCAAGATGTTTTTCTCCTGTGTGTGATTTTTTTCCATTACTGATACAACCTTTTAGGTTACATCCAGTGTCCATTTCCCTTTCCTTTTTAACCTCGTTTCACACAATGAGGTCACCTTATATCCCCAAACTTACTGAGATGTTCAAATAGGAAGAGTCATCCCAGAGAACCAACTAGCACTTGTGATGTGGGAATGATTTCTTACTAATAAAGAAACTGCCTTGGCCCATTTTATTGGATAGAAAATTAGGTAGGCGGAGTATACAGAAGAGAATTCTGGGAGAAAGAAGGTTAGAGGAAGGGTCGCCATGATTCTCCCGCTCCAGACAGACGCAGGTTAAGATCCTCCCTGGTAAGCTAGCTCGTGGGCTACACAGAATATTAGAAATGGGTTAGAACAATATGTAAGAGCTAACCAATAGGAAAACTGGAACTAGCCGGGCCAGGCAGTGTTTGAAAGAATACAGTTTCCGTGTAATTATTTCTGGGTATAAGCTAGCCATGCGGGCGGCTGGGTGCCGGGGACGCAGCGCTGCCGCTCCTATTTCAACAGATGGCGCCCAGACGTGATGGGCTAAATCCACTTAAAAACCTGAGAGGGCTTAAAAAGGAGAGAGAGAGAATTTAAGACAGCTTTTTGCTGTTTCTGGGTTGCGTGCCACAAAGAAATTGTCCTGACTCGGCAGCAGGAAAAAACTGGCTGTTTTAAAATGCCGGCTTTCTGGGCTGTGCCGCCATTGTGATCTCTGTCTGGCTCCGGTGGGAGACAGAGCTTATGAATGGAGCATTTGGATTAAAGTGCTACGATTTGTTTGATGGCAACTAGACTGCTGTGTGCCTTAAAAGGGACATTGTGTGCCACAGCTCAGAGGCACAAGCAGCTCCGCCATGCTACTGGTGCAATGTGCAAGGATCAGAGGCACGAGCGGCTCCGCCATGTTGGACTGGGCGGAGCCAGCATACAGTACCTGTTTTTGACCTAGGAATGTCACAGCTTAGATTCTTAAGTGCTTAGTGATTTAAAGGCGCCAAACAAAGTGCTCCTGGATAGTAAAAAATTACAGATTCACAATAAAACAGATTCAGACACTGTTGGATGAATGTACGTAGGCTTGGAAAAGAGAAAAAAAAGAATATAAAGAATAAAGTTAATGTCTTAAAAAGAAAAAGGGTAAAGTCTTTAAAGAGACAGAGTACAGATAGTTATAGATTAAGAGAAATAAAGAAAAATAAGCCACGTAAAAATGGAAAATTCACAGAGAGTCTGGATTATGTACATTGTGTTTTCTTTAAAATTTTTGGCTGTGAAGGAGCTAAGTACAGAGAGACATTTCATTACGTGGGCTGCCAAGCTAAACCAAAATGGATATAAGGGTATTACGATTTCAAAATTTGGATTTAAGGATATGATGCTTTGGAGAGGGTCTTCTTTTGTTTTTGCAGAGGATGAGACCCTATGGATTTCTTCTATTCCAATTTGGTATGATAGACCACGCCCTCCTGAAAGGTTGCTGTGAACACCCTCAAAAAATTACTTCACTCAACTGCCAACTGAGATGACCCTGGCACACAGGTTATACCATGAAAGATCTAATTAACGACGCCCCCATTCAGCAGGAAGCAGTTTGGAGAGAAAAAACTACGCCCATGTTCCCAAATATTGTTTATAAATGTTCTTTTACATTTAAAGGGGGATATGATATAGATATGAATAATTTGCATTGGTATGGATTTTAAGGTCAATTTTGTTATATGTATATGTATTTTTGATCTTGATTAAGGTATTGTGATTGTGTAGTTCATTTAAAAATGTAATGTATAATTAGGAAATATAGGTTGTTAATGGATAATCATCGCTAATACTTAAGCTTGTAGTCATGTTAGTTAGATTTTCTAGATATATAGAGAGATATTTTAGTTAGATAGGCATTCTTCATATCTTTCAAAGGCTGCAGAATATGGCATTTAAGATATTTTAATAACTTAGGGTTTTTCATGACAATGAGACACATTTGCTCCTGGCAGCACCAATCTATTTCAAGAGGAAGATGGGCATCGAAGAGAATCCTTATGGAGTTTGATAGCCATTTGGGCAAGAAACTGCTCTTGCCTGGACTGTTGCATAAACTGGACACAGAGAACCCGCAGAGAGAGGACTGCTGAACTTGCCTAAAGGTGAGATGACCTTTTGGGGTTCCTGCTTCATGAAAGAGTCTGTGAGACATTCTGCAGGACACAGCAAAAAGTGACTGAACTGTCTTTGGAATTTCCTGCTTGATGAAAATGTCTGCTGGATACTGTGGGCCTGTAGGCCGAAGATGGATGCCCCAACGGTACAGAGGAACTTTGGGTGACTGTCCAGGCAGCGAGATGTCTCTGTCATTTCTAGGGTTTTCTTATTTCTTGTTTGATAGGTAATATTATATCCTTCTGGAGTCTTTGATAGAGTTGAAGAATGAATAGTTATAGTTTTCCTTAGTTATGGTAAGAGATAAAATAGATATAAATATTGTAACTGTAATTCTTACTTGATAACTGTTTTGTTATATGTAATTTTACTATGATAAAGTTAAAGCCTTTCTTTTTTGTTTAAACGGAAAAAGGGGAAATGATGTGGGAATGATTTCTTACTAATAAAGAAACTGCCTTGGCCCATTTTATTGGATAGAAAATTAGGTAGGCGGAGTATACAGAAGAGAATTCTGGGAGAAAGAAGGTTAGAGGAAGGGTCGCCATGATTCTCCCGCTCCAGACAGACGCAGGTTAAGATCCTCCCTGGTAAGCTAGCTCGTGGGCTACACAGAATATTAGAAATGGGTTAGAACAATATGTAAGAGCTAACCAATAGGAAAACTGGAACTAGCCGGGCCAGGCAGTGTTTGAAAGAATACAGTTTCCGTGTAATTATTTCTGGGTATAAGCTAGCCATGCGGGCGGCTGGGTGCCGGGGACGCAGCGCTGCCGCTCCTATTTCAACACACTTGGAAATCCACTTACCTGCATCATAAACAGAACTCCTTCCTCCATTCGTCTCTGGAAATGGAAGAAAACTGTGTCATAATTTGCCCCCAGAAAGCACCAATGCTATGAATTTGGTCTCGCTTGTTTTCACTACACAAGAATTGCCCAGACTCGGCCTGACACAGGTCTCAGAGTCCTACAGCTTTCCTCTGTGCTATGCTACCAATACCCTTTCCAGAACTTACTCAAGTTTGTATCTTATTATATACATTTCCCACTTTTTTATCATTGTTCCTTTTCACATATGTTATTCCTGCTTTTCCATTAAGAGTCTGGTAGTTGGAATACATATTGACTGTTGAGACAGGGCACCAGATATACTCAAGGATTCTTGTGCAAGGGCTTAGAACAATAGCAATATATCTTTATTTCAGTGAGCATCTGTGATATGACAGACAAGGGGTTAAGTGTTTCATCATAACCTCTCTAACCCTCCCTTGATTATTCCAGTTATGCACATTATCCCTAGAACACAGAAATAGGAACCAGCATTCTAGAAGCTTCAGCAACTTATCTGAGACAAATTAAGAAACCACATCTGTAATTCAAATCCTTTTTCCCCTTCTCACTGTGCTCTGGAAATCAGAGATCTGTCTTTAAGACTTTTTCTTTAATTTTATTCTATGTGCTCAGGTGTTTCACTTGCATGCATGTCTGTACACCACATGTATGCAGTGCCCACAAAGGCCGGAAGAAAACATCAGACCCCCTGAAACTGGAATTACAGAGCTTGTGAGCCACCGTGTAGGTGCTGGAAACTGAACTGGGATCTCCTGGAAGAGCAGCCGGTGCTCTTAACTACTGAGCCAGCTCTTCAGCCCCGGGGATTTCTTTTGAAATAGGAACGTTCTATTTCACCTACGGGGTGGAGACCACATCTTTTTGCAGGAATGTGACTTCTTTAAATTTTAAACCACTGTGCATTGTTTTGTGACATTTAACATGTGAACCTGGTTACTCTTCTTTTTTCATTTCAGTTTGACCCACTCACAATCGAAAGCAAAAAAGCAGCCACTGTGGTGCTCATGCTCAACTCTCCAGAGGAGGAGATCTTGGCCAAAGCCTGTGAAGCCATCTATAAGTTCGCTTTGAAAGGTTTGGATTCCTTCAGTTTGTCTTTCTATCTCATTTCTATTTGCTGCAGGCTAGGACCTTCTTCACTAGTCTGTAGCTTACTTCCCGTGGGAACATTAACACCCTACTTGAAGGCAGTGCATCTTCCTGTATGCTTTACTCGGTGTCCAAGGGTCAGTCACAGTATAGAGAAGTTAGGCTACTCACTATGGGAAAAGCATAGGAGTCAAGCGCACGCCCGTCATCTCAGGATTTGGGAGGTGGAAGCAGAAGGTTGTAAAGGCAAAGCTAGCCTGGGCTATGCAGTAAACACCCTTGTCTTTCCCATCACTCATTCACCCACTCACTCACTCATTCAATCAACCAACAAGAAGAAATAATGCCACAGAAGCAAAAAGAGCCACCATTTGAGCAGTAAGATAAACTTGCATTGGATCATAACCCAAAGTATAAAATAAATATCCCTGTGTATAAACAATATTGATATGAAGGGTAAAATTTAAGACCAGCCCCCCCCATCTCTATGCTCCCTTCCAGACAGTAAATATCCTTTTACTCCCCAGAAGTCCCCATTCTGACTTTGTTCTGTTGTCTTCCAAAGCCCCTCCCTTAGAGACTTCATTTGCTCTGTCTCATTGGCCCTTTCCCAGTTTCCTTGCTTTTACCCATATTTCCTTCTGCTTGGATGTGCAGCTGTAACAGTTAGAGGCTACGGTCCACACAGGAGTGAAAAGAGAGAACACAGTGTTTGACTTGCTGATCCTGGCTTACCTCACTTAAGGTTTTCTAGTTCTGTCCATTTTCATGTTAATTTTATAGTTTCATCTTCCTTTACAGTGGAATAAAATTCCATTTAAATAAAATTTACAACAGAGAGAGAGAGAGAGTGTTGTATTGAATTAAAAATCAAAACCAAACTACATGCTGCCTTCAAGAAAGATGCTTAGACTATAAGGGCTCAAATAGAAGATGAAAAGAGATCACCCATTAAAAGACTAAATAAAATAAACCTGGAGTTGCAGTAGTAAAATAAGATAAAGAAACAGCAAAAGGAGTCAGAGGTCATTTCATTATGATAAAGAGGTCAAATCCCATAAAGTCTGCAGAATCTCTTCCCTAGCTAAGGACCTAAAACAGGAACTTCCAAATGCATGAAACTGGTATTATAAGGAGAGATAAGCATCCATACACACTCCCCAGAGAGAGAATGCAAGATCCTTTTTTCAAAAAAAAAAATCAATAAATGAAAGAATGAATAGACCACATGTATAAGAATATAGAAGATGTGGCCATCGATACTACTGAGTTTCATCTAGTATTGAAAGTGCTCTCTAAGAACTGTGGAGTGAACATTATTTCTCAAAAGCATCTCATAGAACACTTGCTTCAGTAAAGTGCATTGTGAGGCATAAAACAAGACAAACCAAATTTTAAGGGTTTAATTTTAGAAAATTTAATTCTAAAATATTCAAAAATGTATCTCTGAACCGCAGAGGAATCACATTAGAAATCAATAGTACCAGATATTCCGGGCAATCATTAAACACTCAGAAAGTAAACAACATACTCCTATGTAACTCACGAGTGAAAGAAAAAGGGGGATAAACATGAAAATTGAGGTAATCTATAACAACGTATAGAGGGCTGGTGAACGAGTTTCAGACAAACCTTTATTGCACCACGTTAGAAAGGAAGCTTTAGCATCAGGGAGCTGACTCAGTGGGGTTGGGTAAGGGTGCTGTCCTGAGTTTAAATCCCTAGGACCCATGTAAAGTCTGACTTCTATCCATGTGCGTGCCCTCACATGCTAAATGCACACGCGCACATACACAGACATAAGATTTTAAAAGTTTCAAACTAAGCTTCAGTGCTTTTTTTTTTTTTTTAAAGAAAGCAATGGTAAAGGAGAAATTAAACTCAAAGTCAGTGATAAATATAAGAGGTATCTGAAAACAAATCAATGGAACAGAAAATAATAAGAAGCAAGCAGAAACTGTGAGCTAGCAAAAATGAGGCAATCTTTAGCTCAGTATGTCTCTTAAACATGGGTGAAGAATTTGTAAAGAAAACTCTAGCAAATTAAATCTAACAACTGAGTTTCACGTGAAGACCCCAAGATTTGTTTAACTCTGAAGGATGAGTCAAGGTATTCTATGCTATGTGATAGACAAAGAGAGAAGTGAATATCCAGGGTGCTGGAGCACCTAGATTTGTTCTGAGAGAAAGCAAAGGGCAAATAAGAAACTGAAGTCGCACAAATTGGAGCTTCTGGGATATACAAGGCACTCACACGTGGTCTTGTTCTACCTGGCTGTCAGGTGAGGAGAATAAAGCAACTCTCCTTGAACTTGGAGCTGTGGAGCCTCTGACCAAACTGCTTACCCACGAAGACAAAGTCGTAAGAAGAAATGCTACAATGATCTTTGGCATCCTGGCTTCCAACAGTGAGTAACGATATTTTGAAATGAACAAATTTTCCCATTTTTTTCAAAGTTAACTTTAAGGGATTTGCCTAAATTTAATTTATGCCAGCTTTAACATCGGCAAAAAATGTGGTCAATGCAACACATGATTTCATAGTTTTAAAAGATGTGTTTATTTAATGTGTGTATATCTGCACATGAGTGCAGATGTGCCTAGTGACCAGAAGAGGGCGCTGGATCTCCTGGAGCTGTCCCATGTGGGTGCTGGGGACTGAGAAGAACAGCAAGGGCTCTTGAGCAATGAACCATTTACGTATCTGATTTCCTGTTTGAACAGATTATTAACAGAGGTGGAGACAAGTATAACATCTCACCTCAAAGTTAGTGATGATGCCCTAATCTAACAGGTTAGGAAAGAAATTACCTCTTAAAATGAGCCCCCCCCCCAGTTAATATAGTGTAATTTGCCTGCACGCATGTTGGTTATACTTCAAATAAATTTCCTAGTATATGAAATCGACAGTAGATCCTGAGAAGTTGACTTTTTAAAACTGTTAACTATGGCTCATATAAAAATATTGAGCCATATTGTATATGTTGAATTCAAATTATTTAAGTAGAATGCTCTTGAATCAGAATTTGATTAATTTTTTTCATCTATTTAGGAGTGTGGTATTGCAGTATCAGCTAACACATGCTCTTCTGGCTGTTAGAAGGGCAGTTTGGCAGGGCCGTGCCAACAACGGTGGTCTCCACTGGTGTTCAGCACGTATTTCTCCAGACATAAGTCACTTCTCTGTGTTTTAGGATAGTTTTTGAGACACAAATTTTGTAACTTACAAAAGTTCAAAAAGTATTTTGAGCCAACATCTTTGTAACTACAAAAAGATTTAATGATACTCTTAGTAGAGTATGAATTATAATAGAGAATGAATTCAACCAAAGGTAGACAGAAATAAACCCACCTCCCAGAAACAGAATGTGACTAATATCATCACTTTTTCCCTTGCCATGACTTCCACTGGGTACATTATGGATTTTTCCCTTTCTGTCCCTAACTGGCAGTTTTTCTAGACAACATGTGATATACACAGATTTTTTACATATTCAATGACTTTTTCCTGTTTGTTTTTTTCTTAATTTCTATTGATTCTCTTACTTGTTCATTCATTCATCTATATTCTAATATATAAGGTATTTACTTCTTGAGCAACTCTCCACACTGTTGGTGAAACTTCTCAGCTCAGGATCTGCACATTGCATTTTCTGTGTTTCTGGGGATTTTGTGACACCAAGTTACTAAGAATTGGGGGCTGGAGAGATGGCCAACAGTAAAGCATGCATTCTTCCCTTGCATCTGCACTCACATACATATACCCGCACACTACCTACACACATACCCACACACATACCCACACATACATACCCACATACAGACTTACACACAAACACACACACACATACCCTCACACAGACACACACACATACCCACATACAGACTCACACACCCACACACAAACACACATACATACCCATGCACAGACACACACAGAAACACACACAGACAAATATATATACACACATACCCACATGATTTAACTTTTTAAAAATTTAAAGAAATATTTTCACGTGTGGGTCTTAAGTGAGGGGTTCTCTGGGATCTCCCAGGCCCAGCCCCCACTCTATAAGATGAGTTTGATCAGTACTAGGAGGACCACCACATCTGCTCTGCCAGCGAGGAGAGCACTGCTGCCTTCCGGGTCCCTGTAAGTACCTAGTTCTGTTGTCTGAATAAAGACGACAGGTCAAGAATACATACCTGGTGTGAGGAGCAATTGTGGTATAATAAAAGGCTTTCTTTGGATTTCATGAATTAGATGCAATTTGAATTGGTTGACTTGTATCTGATGGTGTGGCTAACACATGGCATCCCCAGCTTGGCAAGGTCTCCTTTTCTTGGAAGAATCGACATGTTCACAGCTAAAGCTCCACTTGCCACACAGGTCCTAGAAAACTTGGATAGAAGTTGAATGAATACCTGTAGATTTTATCGCGTCGTGCCTCCGTGCTAATCTGTAAATGAGTGCACCTTCACACTGCTGGGCTACAGCATCGCTGGCGTGTCTAATAACAGCAACAGTGGCTGCCCCTTAGAAACGTGCCGTCCTGTGGCTTCCTACTCAGTGAACAACTGTGCTCCTGTCAGATGAACTCATGTTTCAACAGGATGCTGGTGCTGAAACTCCATGTGAGACAGCTCTCCTTTCACAGCCTCCTCCTCTGCGGCCTCCTTCACTCCTTCTCCTCCTCCTTCCCCTCCCTCTTTTCCTGCCTCTCCTCTTCCTCCCTTTCTACTTTTTCTTCCTCCTCCTTCATTTCTAATTACTCCTCCCCCTACTCTTTCACTTCCTCCTCTCCCTCCTTGCTCCATATTCTTCCTCCCCTTCCTCTTTCCCCTTTCCTCTTCCTCCTCTTCTAGAAGTTACTGAGCTATGTGTCTCTGCCAAGCTGGAGTGATTCAAAAAGACAGTGAAGTTACTTTACTGGATCTTCTTTTTTGGCCCAAACACAACTGCTACTGTCTTCTTTCTCCTGCTAGTTTTTACTTAATTCATTCAGAGCACACAACAGACACAGTCAGCCACAGATGCAGTGATTGTAAAACAGACGCAGTGGCTGTAGTCAGTCACTAAGAATTCACCATAAATCCTGTGTCAGGCTGTAGTAGGGAGGAGTGGGCTGCATCCCACTGCCTGGCTAGCTTAACTCCCAAAATAACCACACAGAGATTGTCTTAATTAAATTACTGCTTGGCCCATAAGCTCTAGCCTCTTATTGGCTAACTCTCACATCTTGATTCAACCCATTTCTAATAATCTGTATGTCACCACGAGGTCGTGGCTTACCGGGAAAGATTCAGCATGTGTGACCTGGAAGCTTCATGGTAGCATGGCTCTATCTGCTGTTTTCTTCCTCCCAGAATACAGTTCTGTCTTCTCCGCCTATCTAAGTTGTACCCTATCAGTTTCTTTATGGTTAACCAATGAAAGCAACACAAATACTGAAAGACCTCCTACACCATCAGGCAACCTGAGAAACTAGCACTTTGGATCCCTCAAAGCCAGCAGAGAGAGGTGGTGCTGGAAACCAGTAAAGGCCAGGAATGAATTACATGGTAAAACCAAGACACTGTGATTAGGAAAGTAATAAAGCCTGATACAGCGGTGCCCATTTACAACGTCAGTATGGCGGAGCTGAGGCAGAGGAATTGCAGTGAGTTTGGCCTGGCTACCATAATAAATTTAGCCCTATTGGGACTACATAGTGAGGCTCTGTCTAAAAAGTAAATGCAATCAGAAGAGAGCTAATGAAGTTAGAGCAGGGATTAAAGCCGTTGGCAGAGCTGCCTTGACCAGAAATCACAGTGACACCTGCTCAGATGCTGTTCACCTGGCCCGGCACAGGTCAGAATTTCCATCCAGTTGCCGAAGTTGAGGCGCTTCCCTGGTGAAAAAGAAGGAACCAAAACTAATATTGTGTTTACAGAGCTTGAAAGAGCAACTCACCTGACATTTTCTGCTGATTTCACATAAAAAAAAAAAAGGATTAGATTCTCTGAATGATCAACTGTCAAAAGGAGTAACCAACTGGGACACAGTTCTCAGAGCTGCAGTGAACTAGAACCTTTTATCCAGCAGGGAGGAGTGGCTCAGCAGACGGGATGGACCCTGGAGCCGGTCTTGGGCACCTCTGGTCATCTGGTCTAAATTTCATGGCATGAGACTCTCTGGAGAAGACTTCTAGCTTCTTTCGGCAAAGCAAGGTGTGGTGTCCACCTGAGGCCACAAGGACCATGCAGCTATGGGCTTTGCAGGTGACTGCCAATAACCCAGAAAGAAAGGAACTGACAACCACACATCACCAACATGGCCTACCTTAAGGTCGGGATCAATTAAGAAGGTCTGAAGTGCATGGGGATGGTTTTATATATATGGGGAAGTGCTCAGAGATCCAACTTCCAGAGATTTTTAGGATGTTTTCAAGCATCTAAAAATAAGGAATTTTCCTACAGCTGTCACAAAAATTGTTCTCGCCGTGCCAACTGGCATCGGAGCAGCACTTGTTGAGACAGGTGCATGGAATTTGGGTCCCAGAACCTTGCAAGGATCTAAGTATTATGCCAAGGCTGTTACCTGTCAATCAGTGGAGTAAACACTTCTTAAAACCTGGTGTTGGACCATAAATGTCATCCCCTACTGTGTCGAGCACAGATTGGGCTAGAAACCTGACTGAGTTGACAGAGGAATGAAGAAATGGCAGATGTACATACAGAAAGTCTGGGATCAGGTGGGCTGTAGTCAGGCTGATGGAGAGCAGCAACTTCTACCCAAGAGCCCAAAGAAGGCTTTGCCATTTCCCTGACCCTGACCTAGAAAAGGCTATGTCAATCTCCTGAGCCTAACCCGGGAGAGGCTTTGTCAGTTCCCATGGGTCTGAGGCACTGGGGTCCTTCTCATTAACACATGCTCCCCCAAAACTACCTCTACCTCTGCTTCCCACAACACAGTACCCTGGAACATTGCATGTCCTGGGACATTGCACGTCGGGAACATTGCATGTCCTGGAACATTGCATGTCCTGGAACCCACAAAAGCAACTGTCCATTTGCTCTGCCTTCAGCCACTCGCAAGAGAAACAGAGAAATCAGAAGTTTTGACACATTGAAGAAAAGTCACAGCTCTGAATTCCTCAGGAAAGGGTGCTCAGTGAACACCAAACCTATTCAGCTATTAATAAGGACAAACTCATCCTAGACCGCGCACTTCGGTGACCTTTCCTTTGAATCTAGTGGGGTTAGCCTTTTCTTATAGATAAAGGAAATGGATTAGAAGTTGCAGAACTAAAGAAACAGAGGTATCTTTTTTTCCTCAAAAAACTGGAGTTAAGTCAGCAAGAAGTGGAGGCATACCTGGCTACCCTTAGCCTAACAGACAGTGAGCTTCAAAAGCCAATGTATTTATCTCTGAGTACTTTTGACATCTCTAATAACTAAATAAAGTGTAAGCAATAAAAATATATCAGTCAAAATATGTTAGGATAATTGTCTGCACTCTACACAAGTTTATGGAAATCAAACTTAAAAATCACCTCAAAATAAAGAGAATAAGTGACCATAGATGCCCACCTCCATCTGATGCACCTATGTAAGCTAAGGCTCTGGAGAAGCCAAGGAAGAAGGGTCAGAAAGACTGTAGGAGCCAGAGGACCAAGACACCTACTGCAAAATAGGGTCTTCTAGACATGACATGAAGAGGCACCGATGGAATCTCAACAGTATGGTTTCCTAAACAAGGCCTTGCATAATGACAACAGTCGATGTGCCAGTGTGGATGGGAGAAATGACACAAAGCTCCACCCCTACGTGAGGAGCTGCTCCAAGGGGATGAATCTGTTTTCTCATGAACAAGCTTGATAGGTTATACAATCCCATATAGTCAGCTTAGTAAGTTGTACACACACACACAGAGACAGACATCATATCACATCACACACTCAAGAGAGAGAAAGGAGAGCAATGACAACAATTGAAAGTGCCAGCATTGGCAAAAGATACCCCAAGACAAGTTCTTAGCACAAAGGAGACTTATTTGCCCCAGAAGGACAAAGGGCAGGGAATAAGAGACAAACAGAGGAGACAGAGGATAAAGAGAAAGGAATAGGAACAAAGGAAAGGGGAAATGATATTTGATTGAGCATGTTAATTAGGGTAGCCAAAAGGGGGCTTTTGATTGCTGGACCTTGGTAGTCAGCCTCAAGAGGAGGAAGTGGCCAAATACAGGAATAGTCTTCATGACTAGTTTTAGGAATGTAATCTAATGGAGTTTTTTGGGTTTTTTGTTTGTTTGTTTGTTTGTTTTTAGCAAGCAAGAGGAAACAGGGAAAGGACAAGGCCTGGCAGAGCCATGTTTGCCATGCTCAGACTCGTTAGAGCATCTTCAACAAGAATTAAAGAAAAGATCATGAATTTGAGAGGAAGTGAGGGTATGGGAGGAGTTGGAGAGGGAGGAAGGGTGGAAACAATGTAATAAACCATTCATGTATAAAAATTTCAAAACAAAAGATTAATATAATAAAAAATATAGGACACTGTAAGTCAGATTTTCTGATGTGTTCCTGGGTATATCTGGAAATTCTGCTGTTATTCTTTTTAGTGTTGAGCAAAAGGTAGTGGCTAGATGATGTCCAAGTGGAATCAACTGACCTGGGCATGCATCCTGCCACTGCCTTTTTGCTGCTTAGATCTCAATATCCTTACCATGAAATCAGACAGGAACACCTATCTTAGCAAATGCTTAGCAGACGTCACTATTACTTTAACAAACATCCATATTTTGTCTCTTCTTTTGTAGGTGATGTTAAAAAGTTGCTGAGGGAGTTAGAGGTCATGAACTCTGTTATTGCTCAGCTTGCTCCAGAAGGTAACTTTGCATCCTATGGCTCCAAAATGGGACTGATTTCTTTTTATATTTTATTAAACTACATATTGTAAAGAACTTACGAGCCATCCACTGTGAACTGTCATTATAATCTTTCAAGCCACAGCACAGTTTTAACTTTTCAGAAACTGCGACGTGAGCAAGATTTTTAGAGCTTTGGATTGCAAAGCTTCTGTGTGTTTGTGGTATGTGTGAACACGTGTGTACACACATGTATGTGTGTGTGTGTATTGTGTGTAATGCTAAAATTGAGTAATTGAGTCCAGGGCTTCGCATATGTTCAGAGAACACTCTACCACTGCAATATATCCCATAACCCTGGATTTGCAGAACCTCCTGCCCCAGCCTGCCAAGTAGCTAGGATCATCACACTCCTCCTCAAAGCCTATTGTAAAGCAGAGCTTCCGTAATAGCTAACACATTGTCTTGTTTATCTATGACATACAGAAGAAGTGGTAATCCATGAATTTGCAAGTCTTTGTCTCGCAAACATGTCAGTAGAGTACACTGGGAAAGTACAGATCTTTGAGCATGGTGGACTTGAGCCACTCATCAGACTGCTGAGTAGCCCAGACCCAGATGTGAAGAAGAACTCTATTGAGTGCATCTACAACTTGGTACAGGTAGGGATGGCTTCTAAACAACGTTCTGGTGGTAGGGAATACAACTCAATGTTAACATGCTTGCCTAACACACAGAAGGCCAATTGTGGGGGTGGGGCCGGAGAGATGGCTCAGAGGTTAAGAGCACTGGCTGCTCTACCATTGAACCCAGGATCAGTTCCCAGCACCCACATGGTGGCTTACAACTATTGGTAGCTCCAGTTCAGGAGATCTGATGTTCCCTTTTGGTCTCCGTGGGCACTTGTGTGCATGGGATACACAGGTATGTAGGCAAACAGCCACACACATAAAATACTTTTTTGAAGCCCATCATGGAATTTATCTTTTCGTTTAAAACAAAATTTAAAACTCACCAGTTTTACATAGTAGTTCTCAGCCCATTTTGTAGTAGGAGTCCCCTTTTTTGTTCCCGGCTGCTCAACCCCGAAAAAAAAACACACAGAAACTGTATTAATTAAATCACTGCTTGGCCCATTAGCTCTAAATTCTTATTGGCTATCTTAATTTAACCCATTTCTAGTAATCTGTGTATCAGCACGTGGCTGTGGCTTCCCTGGCAAACTTCCTGCATCTGTCTCTAGCAGGGCTACATGGCTTCTCCTGAATTCATCTTCTTTCTCCCAGCATTCAGTTTAGTTTTTCCTGCCTAGCTCTTCTCTACCCTATCACAGGCCCAAAACAGCTTCTTTTTTAACCAATAGTATTCACAGCATGCAGAGGGGAATTCCACATCACCATTTAGTACTTATCACTCAGAAAAAGATATGAAAATTCCATGTAGATGCCTTTCAAATTTACCATTTGATAAATAATTGTCTACCACATGAAAAGAAATAAATTTCTCTTTTAAAAGAACACAGTGGCATACATATTAAGGTAGGATTCATGTGAGTCCACTGTGTTTCTTTTAAAATGGGAAATCTACAATTCATGTCAAATCTGGGAAGTGTCAACACAAAAACACAGTTCTCATCTAAAAGCTTATTCTGAACCCAAACTTGAGTTTCCTTGCCCTGGAGAACAAGAAGTTAAGCAACCCCAGGTTCCATGTTCCCATGTGGAAGCAAGTTCATGAGGTTTGATAGTAAGCAGAATAAAAAAGTCACAAATCAAGGCAAGTTGAAAATACATGGGGGGGGGGGGTTACATCAGAGATGTGGTTACAGCAAGTAGGGAAAATCCCTCCTGTAGGCCTCAGATGGCATCTGGTAACATCCTTAGCTTTGGGTTGGTAGAAGTTTGTAACATAACAGATTTCAAAAGATGTTTATCTGTTAGCCAGGGGATATCAGTTCTGACCCAGAGATGGGTCAGAGGGGGCTGAAACTAGCACAAGATAAGGTAGTCAGGCTCTGAGCTGCAATGTTCCCCCCGTGCGCATCACTTGCTAAGACAGCATCAGTCTTCGCAGACAGCTGCCTTCCAGAATTCTCATTTGATGTGGGAGTGATTTCTTATTAATAAAGAAACTGCCTAGGCCCATTTGATAGGCCAACCCTTAGGTAGGCGGAGAAAACAGAACAGGATGCTGGGAAAAAGAAGCTGAGTCAGGGAGTCGCCATGATTCTCCTGCTCCAGACAGACACAGGTTAAGATCCTCCCTGGTAAGCCAGCTCGTGGGCTACACAGAATATTAGAAATGGGTTAGAACAATATGTAAGAGCTAGCCAATAAGAGGCTGGAACTAATGGGCCAGGCAGTGTTTGAAAGAATACGGTTTCCGTGTAATTATTTCGGGGCATAAGCCTGCCATGTGGGAGCCAGGGGTGCTGGAACGCAGCCCTGCCGCTCCTTTAATACTCATTCATAAAGGCAAATCACTGGGACAGTCCTCTCGGGCTTGGAGGACCAGCTGGTCAAGGCTTTGGACTGTTCATTGGTGAAAAGTCTCATCTGAGTCTGCTCAGGGCAATTCACAACAGCAAAAGCTGTCTCATCAGGCTGCTTTCCTGTACATAGAAAACAACTCCATTCCGCTCCCCGCTGCGCTATTCCCTGTGTCCTGCCCTCACCCACAACCGGTCAGTTTAGAAAGACCTTCCCTGCTGCTTTTCCTGCTCAGGCTTCTTAACAATGAAATAATGTGCTTGGTAAGCAATGGGCTTTCCCTCACCATCTCAGCTTATTTTCTTGTTGCTGTGATAAAAACACCCTCACGAAAAGCAGTTTCTGGTCCATAATTCAAGAGTGTATAGTCCATCCCGGCACGGAAGTCAAGATGGTGGGAGCTTGCAGCAGCTGGACACATGACATCCACAATCAGGAAGCTGAGTGCAGTGGATCCCTATGCTCAGCTAATGTCCCCCATTTCATATAGCCTAGGGTCTGCCACCCAGGGAATGGCCCCCACAGACAAGATGGCTCTTCCCACAGCAGTGAATGGAATCAAGGTAATCCCAGAAGCTAGAGAACCTCTTAATCTAGGAAGCCTCTCACAGGCTTGTCTCTGGGATGATTTTGTCTTATTCATAGTTGTCAATTAACACTCTTTATCCAACTCACTCAATGACTTAAAAGTGCCCATCCATGATATGTGGTTTTAACCTCATGACTCCTCCTGGGTGCAGTCTTCTACTTTTTCTTTCAAGTGAAAATAAAAAGCATTGCCTTTACAGTTCTTCATAACAGAAACGTTGGAGACTAAGAAGATATTAGGGCTGCTGCAGCTAAATACCACAAACAACAAAGTGGAGTTCTGAGCCTAAAGGTTCAAAGTCATGGTGTTAACATGACTTATGCCCCAGAGACTGGGCAGGACCGTTCCTCAACTGCCCAACTTTTGCTAGCTGCCAGCACTCTAGTCTCTGCCTTTGTCATCTCCATCCTCAAGGGGGCATCAATTTTTCCTTGTAAGGACACCATTAAGCCGGGCAGGTGGTGGTGTATACCTTTAATTCCAGTCAGTATTCAGGAGGCAGAGGCAGAGGTGAACTCTTGTGAGTTTAAGGCCAGCCTGGTCTACAAGAGCTAATTCCAGGACAGACTCCAATACTACAGAGAAACCCTGTCTCAGAAAACCAGGGAAAAAAGACACCATTAAGGACTATGCTCCGCATTGACCCCGTCTTGTCTAGTTATATCAGCAGTGACTCTCTTTCCAAATGCAGTCACATTATGAGTCCCTGGGGACACTATCTTAAAGGTCACCTATAACGTTTATGCCTGAAGGAAACTAAACATTTAGAAGTTGGGTAAATGATGAAAGAAGGAAGGCTAAGCAGAACACAAGAGTTTTTCCAGAGAGTGTGTCTGTGTGCGTGTGTGTGCATGTGTGTGTGTGCATGTGTGCATGTTGTACATGCATATTTATGTAGGTATGTGCGCATCTGTGCATGTGAGTGTGGAGGCCAGAGATCAATGCCCCGTCTTCGTCAGTTACCCTCTACCTTATTTGTTTGAGGCAGGGTCTCTCCCTAACTAATGACTAAGGTAGGCTGGCCGGCCACTGCGTTCTGGGAATCCACCTGCTCTGCCTCCATCACACTGCCACTCTGACTTCACTACATGAGTTCTGGTAGCCCACACTCATCTCCTAGGCTAAGTGGCAAACACTCCATCGATTGAGCTACTTCCTCACTCCTACCCCCCTTTTCCACCTTCAGTGCTATTTTAAGCACCTTTGAGTTTGTTCCAGAGTTTTCTCCACTGCTCAATACAACACCCTTTGCCCTGCTACCACTACCAAAACTGGTTCATCGCATATAGGAATTTAACTACACTGACTATAAGAAATTAAGAGTCTTAAGTAAAGATCATGTATTTGAAAAAATCCTGCTTTAAATTTGCACACTGGGTTATCTACAACACCGAAAAATGTTGCTGTTTCACAAACAACCCCTCAAAGAGCAAGAATCTAAGTTATTTCATCAAATACTATTTGAAACAGTATATTCATGTGAAAAGAATTGTATTATGTATAAATTTTAACATAATATTGTTTATAGAAGTTTGTAGCAATATAAATCCTGCAAGAGATAGTTAACATTGACTTCCTGTTGACAATGTCTATGTCAATAAATTTATTTTTACTGTCCATTGAGAGTTTTGCTTTTTTTTTTTTTTTTTTTTTTTTTTGTCTGTGAGTTGTTTTGGAATCTGGGATCAATGCTGGAGAAACTATAACTTAACAATGTTCTCTACCATTTCATGGCAGGATTTTCAGTGTCGGACAACACTTCAAGAACTAAATGCAATCCCTCCCATCTTAGAACTCCTGAAGTCCGAGTACCCAATCATCCAGCTGCTGGCTCTGAAAACCCTGGGTGTTATCACATGTGATAAGGAGTCTCGGACAATGCTGAAAGACAATCAAGGACTAGACCAGCTCACCAAGATCCTGGAAGCCAAGGTATTGGCCATATTCCCGTTCATGCAGCTCTCTGAAACATTGTCCTAAAGTCTGAAAGTTTTTAATTTTAGTAAGCAAACTTTACAGGAGTAACTCATTAATGGTTGTGCAAACTTTATTTGGCTTCTTAAAGCAGGCTAGCTGTGGAGGCCATGGAGAACTAATAGAAAATCTGGCTTTGAAGGTTTAAGATTGTTCAGAAATACCTAGAAGTAATCCTTTAATTGTCTGTGGGATGAGGAGAGAAGAACAATTTACCTTCTAAAAACAACGAGAAACACTGGAGGTGAAGGTGCACAGTTCCCCTAAGGCTCGCAAGGAGTCTGTCTCCAACTTTGTGTCTGTCTCATGTCTTCTGGTTACAAATGCCAATCTAGCAGTGTGCTGCATAGACGTGGCTCAGATCCACGCTGAAAGGGTCCCCAGGCTCTATTCCAGAGCCAACGCTGATATGTAGAGTTCAGATCCACCGCCTCTATTTCAATGTCTTAGATCAACCAAGCTCTATTTAGTGCCTTTTTGAAAATAAGAAGAGAGGCACATTCTAGGAGGTTAAAGGCTCCTTGAGTAATAATTTATTAAGTTTCCTGCAACATCCATCTACCTCTGATTCCATGACATCCTGTATACCAGTTCTGTGTCAGGATTTTACATTTGTGGTGTAGAACCCTAACAGTGCTATAGGCTGTATGGTTTGTGAACTATATAAAACCCTAACAGTGCTATAGGCTGTCTAGTACTGTGAACTATATAGAACCCTAATGGTGCTATAGGCTGTCTAGTACTGTGAACTATATAGAACCCTAACAGTGCTATAGGCTGTATGGTTTGTGAACTATATAGAACCCTAACAGTGCTATAGGCTGAATAGTATGTGAACTATATAGAACCCTAACAGTGCTATAGGCTGTCTAGTACTGTGAACTGTATAGAACATAACAGTGCTATAGGCTGAATAGTATGTGAACTATATAGAACATAACAGTGCTATAGGCTGTCTAGTACTGTGAACTATATAGAACCCTAACAGTGCTATGGGCTGTCTAGTACTGTGAACTATATAGAACCCTAACAGTGCTATAGGCTGAATAGTATGTGAACTATATAGAACTCTAACGGTGCTATAGGCTGTCTAGTACTGTGAACTATATAGAACATAACAAACAATACCATTATTTTATCTTATCATGTTATGCTATTATTTCAAATGGAATGTGTAAATCATTCATCACAGGATGAATATAGCTTTGTCTGATAATGTCACAGTTCTGTCTCCTATCTTCATGAGAAAAAATGACATGAAAAGATCCACCCTGTCATAGATGTGATACAGGTGTTTGGAATATGTGATTTTATTACCTTCTTATTTCTTTCAAAGTATGATAATCTATAAAAACATTATATCATTATAAATTATACTATATAATACATAATGTATCTATATCTTATATATAAATCTATATCTGTCTATTATATATACTCTGTATAATAACATCATATAATCATATATTTATATCATATATAAACTATATTATTTGTCATATATAATTATCGCATCTTTGACCTCATTTATAGATGAGAAAAATTAGGTTCACAAGTTAAATAAGCTGTCTGTAGTCACAGAGAGTACAAATATATGGAAAGTATTTTTTTCAGAGTTAATATGTGTATTCTATTTGGAAATTTTTTTTTGAGACAGGGATTCTCTATGTAATAGTCCTAGCTGTCCTGAAACTAGCTCTGGTAGACCAGGCTGGCCTCAGACTCACAGAGATTCACCCGCCTCTTTCCACCAAGTGCTGGGATTAAGTTTGTGCCACCATCTCCCAGCTCTATTTGGAAATTTTTTAATTATACTAAAATACATAGAATGAAATATGAAAGTTTTTCTCCCATCCCCACCTAGGCTGGGGCATAAGGCCCAAAGAATCCTTCATTTAAGTTTCTCATGCACTCAAACTCCTTACCATGGTAATGAGGCCCAGACAAAAGAAAGCTACAAAAAACAAACAAACAAAAACTAACAGATTTGAAGACAGAAAACCCGAAGAGACCAGGAAAGTCTACTTGTGAAGTAGATATCTAAAGTTAGATTAAGAAATCTAACTTTTAAGTAGATTTTCTCAAGTTCAAAGGGTAAAGGTCAATTCATGAAAATTATGTTTTTTTATGCTAGTGTTAGGAATATTTTCTTAAAGGGAGCTCTCAGCCGACGCAAAATAATCCCCATCAAGCCAAAACAGACCAGATTAAAAGACCCCTCCGGGAGGGGTCAAGGTTTGAGGAGCACAGGGGAGGGGCCTCCAAAGATGGAGGAAGGAGGCTGGGATTTACAGCTAATAGTGAGCCTTGGAAAAGCAAAATAAATGTAATTCAAGCTGCAATATTTTCTGTGTATGCATACTTACCTATTTTGTGTGCCTCTGTATGCATGTACGAATGTGGTGTCTGAAGGCTCACGTGTGCAGGGCAGAGGTCAGCATCAGCTGTCTTCCTGCATTGGCTCTCCAACTTGCTTTCTGAGGAAGTGTGTCTCACTGAGCCTGGAGCTGACCGATTCAGCTAGACCAGCCAGCCAACAAGTCCCAGGGATCCTCCTGTTTCAGCATGTCCAGTCCTGGGATCTCAAGCATTCGGTGCTCAGGTTCACAGGCTTGCCTGAAAAGCCCTTCACTGACTAAGCTAGCTTCTTAGACACCTACCATATATGCTTAAAGGAATTAATTCTCAAAATTTGTGTAAAATCTCTTCATGCCAAACCATGCACCCCAGTATTAAGGAAGACTTGCATAGAGAGCTCTGCCCATTTGTCAGAGCTACTGTTTTGACTTGGTCCCCCACCCCTTGCTCCTCACTTCTGTCTTCTGATTTTTTTTTTTTTAAAGACAGCCTCACAGCCCTGAGTAGTCTGGAATGCTTGTATAGACCAGGCTGGCCTTTAATTCAGACTTCCACACGCCTTGCCTCCTGAGTGCTGGCATTAAATGGATGTGCTGTTGCCCTGGGCTCTGACTTCATAATTTTTAATGTTAAAATTAAATTATACTTTTCAAGGAAAAACAAGGACAAAGTCATACATCCATCTGACACAAGTAACCACCCTGTGTTCTTTAGAAAATTCACCACACTTACCCTAGAATGAGGGCAATGTCCATGAGTGACATCCATTCTTCTTAACTTTCAGAAACTTAAATTCTGTATTTTAAAGGCAATGAAACCCAAATCTTAAATTATAAATGACCATTTCAAATTGTATGATAAGAAGACAAGAGAGTAAAAAAACAAAGTCATATACTTAAAATACACAAATACAAACAAACTTATAGACGAGCATCCTTACCAGAATGAAGAAAAAACACTTGGGCGATTACAGCTTTCCCAGCTGTAACTAGTGACGTGGTCATGACTGACGTCCTTCGGTCTAGGTTCCTTTTGCCCTCAACAAAACCTCAATTGATCAGAGCCCTTAACTTGTAAGATGGCTCACCTTAATTAATTCTAATTGCTGTGATTACGGCATGCGCCACCACACATGGTTGTTCATTATAAGTTTTGAGCAAACTAGGTCATTGTTTCTTCCAGTGGCTTTAACCACAGAGTGGTAATACCAAGAGATACACTAATAGAGCTCACATTTTCTAGACATACCTTTTCTTTGATTGGCAACCCAACTTTCCATTGTGTATAAACTTTCCTTTTTGCCTGTTGATTCAGAGGTTACAGACCAGTGGTAGAAAGTGTGCCTAGCATGGACAAAACTCTGGTTCCATGCCTACACTGCCAAATTATATGTACTTTTTCCTTGGGGATTTTAGATTTGTGTTTGGTGGAAGATAATATGAGCAGTTTCAATTCACTGTAATTATCGGATGTTTCCTTTATTATTTTATCCAGAAAATGTTTGAAGTAAGAGAAATGAGAAAAGATGAGGCAAGTGGTAGGAGATTAGTTGTTGATAAAAAAACTTCTGCTTCCTCGGGCTTTTGTCAATACAGAATTAATCATACTACGTTCTGTTGAGTCCCACTTCTCACGGTAAAATCTGAAGAGTAACTTTCTTTAACACACTATGGTGTTCTGAATGTGAAATGTCCCCCATAGGCTCATGTTAAACACTTGGTCCCCAGATGGTTGTGCTGTTTGGGAAGGTCATGGAACCTTAGGAGTGGAACCTTGGAAGAGGAAGTGCATCACTAGGGGCGGGCTTTGAGGGATTATAGCTTTGTCCAACTTCCTGTCCTCACTATGATTTCTGACTGCCCATGCAATGAGAGTGGCTAGCCTCATGTTCCTGGTTCCTGGACATGACGGACTATATCCCCTTGGAACTGTAAGCTGGAATAAAGCCTTTCTCCCTTAAGTTTCCTTGGTCAGGTGTTTGTGAAGCAGCCAAGAGGACAACTTTCAAGTTGTGTTTGTTTTTATTATTAGGAACTGAATGACCTTCATGTAGAAGCACTTTCAGTGATAGCCAACTGTCTGGAGGATATGGACACGATGGTACTGATGCAGCAGACGGGGGGCCTCAAAAAGCTGCTTTCGTTTGCAGAGAACTCGACAATTCCTGACATTCAGAAGAACGCAGCCAAAGCCATTACTAAAGCGGCTTATGATCGTATGTGTCTTCTTAACATAATCTCAACATACATTTATTTCCTCTTGCATTATTAATTTTGATGAATACTTATAAAACTAGAGCATCAGTCTGTTTTTAACACCCCTTCTGGGAAGAGAACAATATAGTTAGAACGCACGCATGCATCTCACAGCCAACAAGTTAAAGTGCAGATTGCTTTGTCAGGGGGTTACAAACTTAATTATCATCCCATTTTTAAAAAGCAGTTCGTTATAAATTTAAGCTTTAAGTCTTTATTTCTCCTGAAATTGGAATAATGCAGAGTACACATGGTGTTTGTTATTTTCTAAGTATTGTTTTGAGAGATCCTCACTCGAATGATATCCAAGGAGGGTTGAGTTTGAGCTGGAAGCTAGCAGTGCCATGTCATACAGCCACAGAAGCAATATGCTTGTGCTATACACACAGTACAGCTTTCATTTCTGGGACAAGCCGTGTTGTCATAAGTCTGTATTATAGGAGTGATCAATTACGTCCCCAAACTGAAGGTGCAATGATAGCCTTAATTTATGTATATATGGGGGATTCTGTAAGCAAAAGATGGGAACTTATTTCACTCCTTCTGCATCACTACTCTTAGAAATGATGGCAGCTTTGACTGCTTCTATGATTTACATTCTAAACAGACATACTCACATCTGTACATATGTCTATGAGTATACTGTGGAGAGCATTTTTTTTCACCCATATTGGATTTCCTAAAGGCTCAGCTTTAATGTTGCAAACGCAAGCATAATTGCGGCTTTGTGAGTTACACTGTCAACACCAAATCTAAAGGCAGGCTGTGAAATTAGATTTTTTTAATATTGGAAATGTATGTGAGGGGTGCTATAAAGAAACTTCTGAAATGACCTCTTCACTGTGGGGAAGATGCGTATTGTGAGTCAGGGGACCATCCGGAGGGATCTGGAAGGGCCTAGAGCAGATGGCCAGGGCTATCTGCAAGAGAATAGTGGAAACTGTAACTAGCTAGAGAGATTAGTCAGGATAGTGAGCTTAGCTCAGGGTGGGCCAGGGATAGGGGAGAAGGGTCTGGATGCTATCATGGAGGCTTTGAAATGTAGAACAAATACTTGTGAGTAGGGGCTATAGGAGCCCGAAGACCAGCATGGGCTTTGATTTGCAATCGCAGGTCCAGTTACAGGGGCTATATGTCCAGTCTGCTAGAGGCAGGGAAAATGACTCCTTTCAGAGAAGGAAAACCTGTTTCACCAGTTTTTGGGGGATGCTGGCTTTTATCTAACTGCCAGGAACCCTGCCAAGCTCGAGCTCCTTTCTCCATATACAGACTGCCTGTACATATACATACAGGCAAATGTTGGCTTATCGCCGTTCTCCCCAGTGACTTAGATGTTGTCACACTGGGCCAGTTCTGTTTTTATTCTATTCCAGGATTCTTGGTGAGGTGAGGCCCAAAGAGTGGTGTAACAATAACACAAACACTCAGTCCCAACATGCTTAGTGTATCTTCTCTGGGGTCTGGGTAGCTGGGGGGTCTCTAGATTTGCTGCAGCCCCTGATGGTGTAGGTAGTTTCATGGAGAGTGTACCAAGTGAGGACATGACTGCCTGAGCTATGGTTGAGGGGAAGGTTTTTATTGTCCTTGTGTCCAGAGGCATCTGGAAGCAGGGACAGAGATGGGGAGAGGAAGAGAGGAAGACAAGAGAGAGAGAGAGAGTTCATGGCCAAAATAGCAGGGTTATGTAGGAATGAGAAACTGGAAGAAGCTTAGGACAGAGGCAGGGTGAGAAGAGCTGAGAAGAGCCAGGACGCAGCATGGACTCTGTAACTGGTATTTATGATGCTGAGAACATGAAGGCCAGCATGTGATTTGGTATGTCAATAGGCACCAGGGATAGCTAATTGTCCCGAGTTTCTTTTGGACCTAACGGTGATCAGTCATGTTCCAGAGCATGAGTAGGGCAACGAACAGTGTGCCTGGAGTACTAGGCCCAGTACCAGACCTGTGGTTACCTGCTTGCACTGCTGTGAAGGTGGAGTAACACCTACAGACCTGCCCATTCATCTGTCCATCCATGCTTTCTTTACACAAACCAAGACAGGAAGCAAGCAGGCATTACAGAAACAGCCAATCATATTTGGGCAAACACAGGATCACTGTGGAAGACACCTGCATGAACACTCAAGGTCAAGTCTCAGGTTCCAATAAGAGCTTTACAAGTCCAGATGTGGAGTTGATAGTGGACATTTTCTGGGCAAAGAAGATCTGGGTGTGATGTTCACAGAAAGGAAAGGTGTTTGAAGACTGGAAGAGTACAGAAAGTTCCAGACCTGGAAATTGCAGAATGCCTTAGCGAACGGAATGCAGCAAGACGCTGAGAATAACAGCTGAGGTAGAGAAGCAATGAGGATTCCTTGTAAACCAAGATATTTAATGTCTAGGACAAGCCACTGAAGGCACATTTCACTTCACTCTATAAAAATGAGCGCTCTTGCTATAAGTGTTGTGCCCAGTCCTTGGGGACCCTAAAAGACCACCAGGGAGACCGACCGACCCACCTAAATGCAAATGCAAGGTATTATCATGCACGTGTCCAAGCCAGCAGGGACCTCATCAGCACAGGAGCAGAGGGGGTACCCCACCCTTCTAGAGAACACTATTTAAAGGCAAAAATCAGAAAAGTTATATTAGCAGGGTTTGGGATGACAGGTTCAATCCTGATTGGCTGGCATTTGTCTAGGGGTGTCCTGGTGAAAAGCCATGGGTGTGTGCTGGCAGGTGATGCTATCTACAACTGTAGGAATGTTAGGATTTTTTTTGGGGTGGTCTGTTTCTGGGTGCTGCCTGGGTAGTTTTAGTTTGTGGTCTTTCTTGCAGCCAGGTATTGCCTTAGGGAAAACTGAGACTCTGGCCTCTATTAAGCTTATCGTGGTTGGGTCCTACAATAAGGTTGAAAAGAGATTGGAAGGTTGTACTGCCCAACACAGAGACCCAGAAAGAGGTTGCTGTGGTGATCTAGGTGAGGTAAAATGGTTACCTGGGAGGATTTGGAGGTGTAGCTGAGAGGTAAAATGCTGTTTTAGCATGCATGGGGCCCAACAACACACACACACACACACACACACACACACACACACACACACACGTCCAGAAAGTACCCTGACAGAAGTACAAATAACATGATTTCTCCAGGTAGAAGCTGCAAAATTGATCCTATATGCTCAATCCTCCTAGTAGATACTAGAACTGTTTCCAGTCTGCAAAAAGTCTGGGAGAGGGGGATGGAGAGGGAAGGGTTAACAGAGACAGCCCTTCTGATGTCCTACAGCAGAGTGGGGTGAAATACTTGACATTAGTTCTTTCAAAACCGTCTATAGAGAGCATTTTAGTGTTCCTAACTCAAAAAATGATACATAACTGACATGGTGCATAATAAACTAGTTACCGTGACTAGTTTATTACACATTGTATACATGTATTGAAATACCACATGGGACTCTGTATAATTACAATACAGTTACTGGATGCCAATTAAAAATAGAATATACATTAAAAAGCATATACCATACTCCTACTTTGACAAATATATGTGCATAAAAACAAATCATCCAGAGTCTTAGGGCTTGGGAAGGATCAATGGGTTATCAAGGTTGTTGTACAAGCTTGAGGACTGAGTTTGTATCCCCAGCACCCACAGAGATGGCATCTGCAATCCCAACACTGGAAGGCAGAGACAGTAGAATCCTGGAACTTGCTAGCCAGCCAGTCTAGCCAAATCGGTGAGCTCCAGGTTCAGCGAGAGAAAATACCTTGGAGAACAGTAGAGGGAAAGATAGCAACTGTTGACCTCTGGCTTCTGTACATATAGGTGTAGGCGTGTATATTCCCCATACATGTACACATATGCACACACCACAAAGGCATACTCACACAAGTCTTGTGTGCAATTTTAATACGATTTGAAGCTGATTGTAGAGACGGTAGACAGATAGATGCATACATATAAACCGATCTCTGGTGCCATGGCACAGATGCGGTAAGTGCAGGCTCAAGGCACTTGGCCCGCAGAGGGGCTCTGTGAACATCTGTGGAATGATTACATGGCCGGGGTGCACAGGGGGTGACACCCAGGATGAGATCAGGTACCTGACTTGAACAACTGAGAACAATATGAAATGAGACTCAGAAGAGGTGCAGGTTTGAAGAAAAGGAAATGAGCGCCTGCTGTAAAAGTCCGATAAAATACGGGTGGTATAAAACTCCCCTCTGGACCCATTGTTAGATGCCCAGTTCAGTGGCATGAAATACATGCATCCTTCTGTTCCTCTTCCCGTATGCAGAACATCGTCCAGAATGGCTCAATGATTGCTTGCTTCCCTCTGCCAACTGCCCTTCTACTTTATGCTTACACACCTGACTGCTGCGGTCACTCTGTGCCCTTAGGGCCACACGGAATTTGTCCCTTTGTGGCTGGGTGGCACTTGGCGTGCTGTTCTCATAATGCCCAATTCATTTAATGCTGTGTCAAGACTTCCTTGTTCTTAAGGCTGGCTAATACTTCTTTATTGATGCCACACTTGGATCTCCCATTCAACTCCTGATGGACAGTTGAGTTGCTTGTTCCCTGTTGGCTATTGTGGATGCAGCTGCTAAGATAAGAATGTTCATGAACAATTCTTTCTCTGACTCTTTGCTTTCACTTCTTGAGGTGTGCACCAAGGAGTCTTGCTAACTTATATGCTAAATCTATTTTTCAATCTTTTGAGGAACTTCTATGTTGTTTTCTCTAACAGCTGCACTGTTGTTTTTTTTTTTTTTTTCCCATTCCCATGGACAGTGCCCAGGGTTTCTGTTTCTCCACATGCTGGCCAGCCAAAACTTGTTACTTTGTTTTTTGCTAGTAACTGTACTACTAGGCACACAGTGGCATCTCATCGCTGTTTTTATTTATATTTTCCTAATTATTAGCCATGTTAACTGACTTCTTCACTCTTTTATTAATCACATGTGTATAATT